CTTTGCATTGGACGATGTATTCAGTGTCAGTATAAACTCGCTGATTTGCGTGACAGTTTTTCTTAAATACTCTTGAAGCTTCTTCTTTGGGACTCGCAAAATACGCAAAAATGGTTAATTGAACGAAGGTTCCTACTTATTTAAAAAAAATAATATAGAAATTTTTTCCTGTCTAAAGTTCACTATATTGGAAAGTACTATATCCAGAAATGTGTGAAGGTAATTACCTTTTTAAAACCAAACCTCACCTTTGCTAAAGTCACATATGTTCAGATGAAATGTGCTAATGAATGAAGACGGACACGAACGTATCGTCCGCTTCGCCACTGACTTTTGCATAATTTTTGAACCCGGTTGTAACATATTTATTATAGTATCGCATGCGCATTTGAGCACGTGATCAGCAGCGAAAAAAGTAATGAGCGTGAGCAGCGAGAGCCTCTGTGCATTCCATGAAATAGCGCAAACTGCACACACTGTGGAGCAGTAGGCTCTGCGAAGCCAATCGCCTGTGTGCTACCTGACGACACTATTCCATTGGCAAGAAGCAACCTTACTAATTCGATAGCCTGCAGTCCGACAGTATGCTAGAGTCTAGGGAAAACAAGGCGATCGGAAATGTCTGAGTATACCCCGGAGGAAAAGCAAGCATTGCTGACCAAGTTTTATTATATGGACATCAACGGTGACGGGGTGCTGTCTAGGGAAGAAATTGAACAGTGCATCAAATACTCAAAACTTCCCAAGGAAAAAGCAGCGGTGAGTAGATTCATGGCTAGTCGCAATGAAACTTTCCTGTCCCAAATTACGGTCAAACGTGGGGCTTGTAAACCAGCTAAAATATTATAGTTTTCCCTAGTGATTTGAAAGCTTTAAAGGTTATCCTGTAAACCGGCTCATATAAGTTTGTAATATTCAGTGAGATAGGTCACTGGGATGGCTCTCAAGGTAGCCGCAATCTCGACTATCTTACCACATGAAAAAGAAAAACACTTTTTAAAACTCCGCTTAACAACTCGTTAGGCCGTAACCGAGCCCAAGTGCAGAAATTCTGTGCTTTGTTGGCGGCCTGGACAGGCTGCTCATGTTTTTTCACATAGAGTAAAACAGTATTCAAGGACATGCCTCTTACAAAGTTTATAATGTTTTGGGAGTATTTAGTAAACTTTTTGAAGAAAGCTATATAGGGTCTGGTTTCCTAGCATTTAGTATACTTCTCAGGTGCCTTAATTCTCGTCGTTTCTGGTTGCTGTTGGGAGGTCAGACTTCAACCCAAATTGGCCATAAATATCCAATGGAAAGCATCAGCTTAGGCAGTCAGCTTGCTGTTTTAGAGTCTGTAGATTCCAAACGTTGCAGTTAGCTAGGTGGGTGATTTTGTCAGAATGTGATTAAAATACCGGCTCCCGGTGGGACCCCGTAACTCAGGTAGTTAGAGCACTGGTTACACTCAAGCTTTGTCGTCACGGTTGTGGGTTCGAATTACACTATGGCTGCCGAGTTTTTCATAAATGGTCAAAAGGAATTATCGGGTTGCCGTTACGTCCCTATCATCAGATGATTCAAAAATGTCCCATTTGTCCTAATCAACCAAGTGTTCTTAGTGACTAGGATAATCCTATTCGCGATGTCTTTTATGGGACGTTTAGAAAGGAAGAAACACGCAATTATTCCGACCTGGCTTGCAGTCAAGACTTAATGCAAACCATAGGCTTTAGAATATTTTTTGTCGCCCCGCACTGGATATCACAAGACTGTAATTTTGTTAAAAAGATCACAAATCGTGCTATAAAAGTAAGGAGAGAGGCAAGCTTAAAATACTCATCTTTTGTTTGTCGACCGCTTTCACTCAGCTGTAATAAAGAGGGGGACATGGAATATGCGCCTATTTGGAGGGTTACCATTAACGGAAAATGTGAATTTCAGGGTTGCTGTACACAGAAACTAACATGAAAGCTTCAAGACCAACACATTAGAAGACGTGACTCGTGTCAGTAGACGGTGTCAAAAGGCGGGGTATATAAAGGGCAATAGATACTGCTTTAACTAAGACTCGATTCCTTGCGTCAAAGAGGGAAACAGTTAGATGTCGAGAAGAAATATTGTAAACTTCAAACTCTCGACAGAAATACCCGAGTTTTAGGTGGAAACCGGTTGCCTCGAGCCGCGTGTAGATTATCGTCATATTGACCCAACTTATGATGTGCAGGGTCAGCAGATTTCATTTGCGTATGGCTGTTGAAGTCAGACACATCTCGCAACAAGAATCTTTTAATAGTTCCCTACCGATAATTCCTGTTTACTATTCTCGAATGGAAATCTGCAAGAATTTTGGCACATGACATCATTTTTCAGAACATTACACAAAAAATGAGTCGATTAAACTGGCAGATGGGGATAGACGCGCAACATTTTAGCCGGGACTGCAAATTCTTTTGAATTTCGGTGAGAAATTGGAAGATGTTTCCCTTTTAATGAGTATATCATTTCAATCGGGGTTTTTCTGGATGACTTAGTGGTTGATCGGTGAGTTGTTTCATATAGTGAAGCCGTCGAATCCATAATAGTATTATCTATTGCAGATAGCTGATAATTAGAAAACGTTCCAGCCTGTTTTAGTAACCTGCTCGATGAAAATTGCTTCTCCTCCTGTTTACGCCACACTCATGTAGTTTGACCAAGGTTGCCAGATGCTCTCAGGTCAAACACCTCAGTTCCATTGAGGCTCGATTACGTCGTATCGATTCTAGAGTGACGGAACCCTTTTAAATTGTTTACATTGAGCAAAATCATCTATCCTTTGGATCTTGGTGAGTCTGGAGGAATAGAGGATTTGTTTTCATATAACATTAATAAATCTGATCTGATCTGATATTGCTGCACATATTCGTAAATCATTTAAGGTTGCCCGAGCAGGTGCACGATTACCAATTCGCCACTGCGGATCAAAAAGAACTTTTTGCCTAACTGAAACCATTATCTGCCTAAATTCAATGTTTGTATTGTGCAACAAAATTAAGCGCATGCCTTCGCGTTCCTGCTCTCTCTTTACGATGAATTAACTTTCGAGTTGGAGCAAACCCACGTATTACTTGGCGCAAGAGGCATCGTCCACTTTTCATCAAAAATTAAGGCGTTTTCAATGTATGTCTGAACGCTACAGCTTTTTTGCTTTTGAGACAGATCACTAATTTCACGATAAGATTTCACTACTGGCAATTACTTGACATGCGAGAAAAGCAGGCTTTCTCAGGCCTCAATCGGAAACCGAGTCAAAACTTATGTAGACACGTGTGCAGTTACATCGTAGGACCTCGGAGACGCGGTCTATGGGAAGTCTCATTCGCACAAATTATACGGATTGCACGCAGCAATGTTCCGTGAAATTGATCGTCTTAGGTATGAAAGTTCCCCCAAATTGATATTCCACTGCGATAAACCGAAGCAGAAGTCGGACGAACAAGCGGTTTCCAGACACAATGCTCCCGAAGAACACATCAGTACCCGCCATAAAAGCATGATGAAAACTCAACAATCGTGCCCCAGATTTCACTGAAATGCGCTCACATAGCTGCATAAATTTACGCAAGACCGGAGAATGTGAGCTGCACTTCGAAAGCTCTCAGTTAATAACTGGGTGGATTGTCTGAAATGAATGTTGCACCCATCAGACGGCAGTCAGACAACTCCAGGCCTCGATTTCGAGAATCAAAACAAGAAAGATGGCTTCAGACTCCCTAAAATCCGACGCCTGTACTAAACCCAGGATCCGTCTGACACAAATCGTTAGTAGAGAAAACAAACTAGTAGAGCAAGAAAAAGTCACTCGAAAACGATTAGCGAATAGATTACCCAGAAAAACTTGAATGCGAATTTTAGATGTCTTGTAATATCTAATTGTCGAATAACTGACTTCTTCTCTCTGTGATAAAAATATAACCTAAGTCTAATTCCAGTATGTTAGCTTGATGGAAAGCCCTCTGTATTAAGCAAAGTAAACAAACAAATACAGTTTTTGCAAACTGTGTGTTCAAATCTGTAGCGTCGTTGACAAACAGAGAGCTACCAAACTAACTCACGTTATGGACAAAGTTCAAAATAGTGTAACTCGGAAGCCCATGAATTGATTGACTCGATGCAAAGTCCACGTTTGGGCAGTTAGGAGAGACATTCCAATGCTGGTTACTACGGCTTTTAGAATCCGTCCAGCATCTGTTTTTAACCGGAACTGTTTTCAATGGTTCACGCACTCTTCGGCGTAGCAACGTTCCCTTCTCCTTCCTCTACAGTGCCTCTTAACTTCTGTTTTACCGATTAGACTGTGCGTACTGAACAACTGACCGACTATTATGACATTGATGCTTCTGTGCAATTTGTCGCACATTCCTTACCCTTTATCAGTGCTATTCAACGGTAAGCGCCAGCTGATAAGTTGTCGCGAAATTCATTGGTAACAGCAAATTCTGCCTTCTGCGCCTGTGTAGAATCAAAAACAGAGTGGTATATAACAACTGACATACAAATAACTAACACTAGTATAAAAAGACCATGGTTCGAAGGCTCTTACTATTTTCCAGATCAAAATTCAGTATTGTAAAAATGCCTTCTGTGCGCAACTCAGTCAATAAACACATGGACTACATCCATATTCCGCATCAGCTTAGGGCCTTTCATTATTATAGATACAGCCGTTTTTTCAATCCGATCATTAATAGGTGTTGTGGCAGTTTTCACATAATTCAACCTGAACGAACTGTGAAAAACTCGGTGCCTCGGTGGGATTCGAACCCACGACAGCAAGGGGAGGTTTAGTACAGCAAACGCTCTAGCCACCTGAGCTATGAGGTCCCACCGGACGACGCGAGTCTAATCACATTTGAGTCAGAGTGAATTAAGTAAAATCTATCACAACACCTATTGATTACGTGAGCCTGGTATTCATACGGTGGATTCTAAATGTATTACTTAGGAAATTCTGCTTGGGCAGTCAGTTTACTGTATCAGAATCGGTGGATTCCAGACGTTGTAGAAGGTTGGGCGGATAGACCCGACCCAAATAAGATTAAACTCGCGTCATCCGATGGGCCTCGTAGCACAGATAGCGAGGGCGTTTTCTGTACTAAACCTCCACTTGCTGTCGTGGGTCCGAATCCCACCGAGGCGCCGAGTTTTTCACAATTCTGTCAAAGGGAATCGCATCATTAATCAAGCGATACTTAGAACCAATGCCCTGCGATCAAGGGTTTGTTATACAGGATTTCAAGTTTGGGTAGGATGTCAGAAAAAGGCATAAGTAGCACAGGTTGTTTTAAAATGCGAAAAATAGCACATGGTACTTATGCACGCGACCTTGATACCAGGCAATGCCGGTGCAACAAGCGCACGCCATGCGGTATCTATTGGTGCGCAGCTGCGTAGGCAGTTGGAAGCCCATTGGTAGATTGATTCACCTGATAATAGCAGAGCACGGATCTGATCTGTTCTTCTTTGCTGAACAGCCGTTGCACCAGCATTATCAGCAAAATGTCGGACTACACTGACCAGGAGAAATTCCAACTTCTAAAAAAGTTCCACGAAATGGACGTAAATGGAGATGGTGTGCTTTCCATCGATGAAATAAATTACTGCCTCAAGAACTCTAATCTTCCGCCTAAGAAGGCAAAGGTGAATCATTTATAGACTGAAGAGTCTGAAATTCCTGATAGTATGCTTTTATTAGTCTACCGTTTTATATGAATTCACCCTAGACTTAACCTTTTATGTTGACCGAATTAAATCGGCGATTGTTAATTTGGTTTCGCGTCTTTTACATTTATATTTATAGTCTCCTGACACACCAGCTTTTTCTTATCTATAACTCTAGGGAGAAATAGGCAACTATACTTAGGAACACTTTAAACTTGAGAAGATATGCAGTGATTTGCATTGTGACGTATTTATATAGCTCATAGACTAGATATACTTTGAGATTTTTTTTCTTCATTTGCCTCTCATTCAGAAAATATAAGATTCAAAATGCAACGCGATATGAAATTTTGCAGAAAATATGCTTGGTATTTCACGCAGAAAGCGCAAATTTCGTTGGAGATGAAAGCGCTGGCGGAAGTTATTATCCTGATTTTACTTAGCTCAGAGAATCAAAGAAGTGAAGTCTTTAAACCAAAATTTGCATTATTCAGAAATAAGGAATCTAATTTTGTTCTTCATATTCACGTGTTGATAAGCACATTGTTAGATTACGTTTTTCAATAGCTACGGAGTTTTAGAAACTCCTAATATTATTTTAGCACAAATGGCTATATAGAAACTCAGAAGATCGGGGGTTTCAATAAAAGTTATTGTTGTTTATCAAGAAAAACCACCGAAGCGCACACACAAATCACAAAATATTAAGGAGACAGGAAGTCTGAGTAAAATAGATATGGTTAGGTCAGTAAGTGTGCGGAAGACGGTTAACAATTTAGGTCGCTCCACTGGCCGGGTAAATTTTCTAATGCCCCGCCCAATCAGGGGTTCGCTCAGGTGGGTAGTTCGAATGAGACATACTCCAGCCGAACGTTAAGTTTTACTTGTATTTAGTCATTCTTAGTTTAGAGCATTCACATAAGGACCTAGCAAGAAAATAACATGGGACACAAGGTTGACGTGTTTGGAGGAGGATTTAATTCGTTGAGTTGCTTTTGCTTCGATTCTTGATAAGTGTAAGAGTATGAAAACAATTAGGGCCGGACAGTGGTCAATAACTATTTGAAAGAGGCTAATGAGATTCCTAACCGAGAACTTTTAGATGAAGCTTCCTAGCAGATTATAAATTCATATTCCGATCTGGATATGTCATTGTGCGAATTAATGGTTAAATTTCACCTGATTACATCTATAATAGACACCTTGCATTTCGAACTAGGAGTGACAACTAGCTTTTTTCATCCACAGGGGTTCGGAAGCAATCAGTTTGCTCTCTGTGTTTTATTGCCTAACTTTTTAACTCAGATCCACTTAATTCTTTAGAAACGAAACAGTTCCCAGATCGAACCAAAATTGCCTAATTAAGTTCACACCCAGCCAAAAATTCAGTACACGAAAGTAGGAATTGCTATTAGGTCTTGGCTAATGAAACGAGATCAGACCTGGAAAAATAGGTCAGATAATTTCCCATGCAAAGAATAAACCACTCAACGCAAATTAAGGGCAAAAGTTCGACTACAGTATAGTTTTCGTTCGAAACACTATCTAACGAGTGTATTTACCTCCTGATGCAAAGTCTCATAAACTCGGAAGAAAGTTAAGTCGTCAAACTTCATTAGAAATGACTGTTGTCACCACATGATTTCAAAATTTTACCTGGTAAAATGTTCCAGAATTCGACATAAACTCTGTACACATGTGCTTTTTGGCGTAATTTGGAGCACGTGCGGAGAAATGTATATCGAAACCCACTAGCGGTGAACATTTCACCTGGTAGTATTTAGGGAATGTAACTAATGCAACATCTGATTCTTGATGTCCTATGCTCATTGAGCATTGTCTACTTTACTTAAAATCTCAATGGTTTTGGTGCAATATTCGGGGCTCATCTTTTTTTTACAAAACAGATTTGCTTAAAAGGTTTTACTTCAGCAAAAGTTTTTGACCACTTTGGTAGCATTTCGAATCGCCACCGAAACTTGTAATCCTAAGAGCAACGTGCCATCCTCCGGTCCGAACAAATAAGTAATCATAAGAATGTGGAAGTTGAAAATTCCCTTCTAACAACTTGCAGATGCCGAGTATGAATATGTAGTGTTTTTATGGACAGGTTCCATTGAAAGCACACACAGACAAGTCGTCAAAATAGGATTCCTGGTGTCCTGCTTTTGTAGGCAGTGTTCTTGGGTAGGCTATATTTAAGAAAGAAAATAAATTGTTTTGATAAATTTCGACTTCAAAAGAGGTTTATGAGAGATTTAGCTTTAGTGTGCTGGCAGGTTTCATTAAAATTCAAAGTCAGTTGTTTAGATATCCTCATTATAAACGAACCAATCAACTTAATTCCAGAGCTTGAAGTCTGTCATCAAACGAACCTGATGAACAAAGACAAATGCTATAAAATTAACATTTTCCTAAAGTCCAGTCAAGAAAACCGGCGGCAGTTTCGTTTGCAGTGTCTGACAATGCTAAACGATCCGTCGGCGGTTGCCACACACACACACACCTAATCCGCACACGATGGACCAGGTTTCTACAGAAGGAAGAACTGGTCAGCTCATATTCCATCTGTAGGGGTGTTGATGAGGACACATTAGAAATGAGCCTTTACATCCTTACTTCCCGTTCTGGTTGGAACGAGTTGATAGGTCGGTAGGCAACCTTTTAAGATACGATATCTGGCCCATTGTTACAGTTTAGAAACGCCTAAGATTGTTTATAATGAGGAATATGCATTGAGGGTCTTAGAGATAGAGTCTCCGAGGTTGCACCCACTCTGTCTTCCATCTCCCACGAACCAGTCGGCTTTCTGAACCAATCGGCCATTTGACGCTGGGATTACGGATAAGTGTGTGGCGTGACGTGAGCCGCGCCCTGGCGTGCTACCATGTGTGACATTTGGTATGGGTGCGCAGTCTGACTAATGCCTATCGTGCCTTAATCTGGCTCCCGTGTTTGTCCAGCACAATCCCCAGAGGGCCTGTTGTAGGGGACGTTGCAAACAATGAGAAGCAGAGATGCAAATGTAAAGTCGTCTTTTTATTCATATTTTAGGAATTTTTGAGCCTGTTCGATAGTGATGGTGATGGTACAGTGACTTTGGAGGAGTACGAACGAGCGCTTGGCCTGAAAGAAATCCCCCGAACTACGTAAGTCGACGTATAGGTCAATAATAAATTATCTATGGGTGATAGTGGTCACTGTAATTTCAATATAAATACGTGTAAAGCCCTTTATGGATACGACGACTGGGTCTTGCTTTGCAGACAATTAAGTTTGGACACATTCCCGTAAAATTTGATCTGTACTGGCCCGACGAGAATTTATCGAAAGCTACGTATGCTCGCCACCTCGTCTTCTGATTTCTGCTATGGGAATTTTCGCAACTCTGATCTCATTTTCTTGGCACATTTTTCTGCCTAATAGTTTTGCATATAGGCAAAGACAGGATTCCGTTGATACCGCCCACCGTTTTTCTGACTGTGCATCTGAAACAATCAATAATCATTAAAGAGACTTCTACAATGAGATCAAGTAGCTCAGTGGAATAGGCAATCGAAGATAAAAAACTTGCGAACTTTAATGCTTCTAAGGAAACTACAGTCTTTCAAGAGGTTAGGGACTTTTCAGTTTAAGAATAACCCACTATTAGCGGCTCAATGGTTATGGCAGAAAATTAAACATTCGCTGGCAAATCCAAAGCACACAAATGTTTCGGCATTAAGGAAATTGAATTTTGACAAAATATACGAATCGTGTGGAGCAAGAATTCGTTTTCCATTGACATGCCATTCGGTATAATAGCGGCGAGGAAAGGAAGCAGACGACTTCTTAGCCCAGGAGGCAATGATCTATGCAAAGATTGTTTGCTAAAACATAGTTTTATCATCGATTCAAGTTAGTCATTAGGCTAAGCCACTTATCACGTTTTTGACGGTGTAAAGATATGATACCAGTCCGTTAACTTGTAGCTGGGCTACTGGATCTCCTAACTCTCAGCCTTTTTCTCATACTCTACGGCTCTTTGGTAGCTTGTCCCTCCAATAAATGCATGCTCAAATTTGGGTTTCTGCTCTCCTCACTTCTTCTACAGCCTCAAAAATGTCCTACCACATCGAATATTTATCCCTAGGCCTGATCATAGGTAAATGGAATCATGTGATTGCCCAAAATGGCTTAATCACTTTTCATGGGCTAGCAAGGGAAGCAAGTCAATTAATTCCTCTCAGAGAATGCTGAGACTCAAAATTTTAAATCATCACGGCCAGCCGAATGATTAGTGCATGTAACCGTTTTTCATGCCTTTGGAGCAATTCCCCTTGTCATACCCAAACCACTCCATCGTTTTACGTTCACTAGGATTTAGCATCACTGGTGCACTACGAAAAATCCATAAACCACACACAAGGTCGCAAATTAGTCGCTCTTTACGCAAAGATCTCAGAAGCAAAATAAGGCCATTTCTTCACCAGTCAGCTTTCAAGACTCACAACAGGTCAACAACTGAATGCATAAGCGTGCAGTTGGCTCATTCTTTCAGAGGCTCTTCGTTCATCTACCCCTTTCAGAGTGGCTGACTGGGAACGCACCTTCCGCGAAATGGATGTGGATCATTCTGGCCAACTAACGGCTGACGAAGTTTATGAGGGTGTTAAACGCCTGGGTTGCATTTGCAGTATGAACGACATCAAGGAACTCATAGCATCTGTGGACAGTGACGGTGATGGGTGCTTGGATATCAAGGAGTTTGTGGCGTTGATGCGCATCCAGTGATGCGGATACTGACTCCTCTGTCCCCACAAAAGTCTTGCATTCCGATTCTCTCACCTTCAGTCCAATACGACCGAAACAAATTTCCCAAGACATTCCACGCAGCATTCCATCCGCGTGGAGTTTCTTACGCCTACAACAAAGGCGTTTGTTAAATTTAATAGTCCATGTACTTTGTAAAGTGTGTTTTATAAGAATACTATATGACTAAGAACTACTCAACCTTTGTTTTTAATTGGTTTTTATAGTGTGACGATAAAGAAAGCATGGAGACTGCCATCAAGTTTACTTTTATCGGAATTCAACTCTGTTACCACGGTTGCATGCTTTTCAGGAATCCTAAAGCGAAATTATACCCATATATTAGTAGTATTTCGTAAAAGACAGAGAGATGTCCGATAGCGCGTTTACTTGTCCTTGGTTCTTACCTAAAGATATTATTAAGGTGTATTGTCTGAGTTATGGTGAACAGTAAACTTGACTGCGCGCTTAACAGTCCAATTTGGTAACAAGCGACATGTCATTAAATCGCATGTTCAGTCCGAATTTCCAAGTTAAAGAATACAAGATGAAAGTCCTATTACAACGCCTAAGGAATTGACTGGCAAATTCGAAATTTAAAGTATAGACAGGAGATCTTCACAATTGTCCTCTGATAAATCCACTTAAATCCATAAGATATTGCGGGAAATAAGGGCTCCCTACAATAGACATAAAACATGGGTTTGATACTTTTCTTTGACTTCACAAACACGACCGACCAACAACACCATAAGTAGTTCGGTTTTCAGGTCTGTGTTGGCACGTGTTGTCGAATGTGACAGACAATCTGTGTGCTCATAAAGCACACACGGCTAACTCTATTCGGTTGTTTAAAATCTCTTGGTTGGAACATGATAGCCGAGGGACTATATGAGCTTTGGATGTAGTCCACAAACAGTAGCTTATCACGACCAAAGTCCAACCCCAGCAGACTCCAATGCCTTGCATACTTGAGAAACTCGAACAAGCAGACTTTGTCAGTTGCAATCGGTGCTTATGATCTTATAGGGTTCGCTTCTGTCTACAATTGTTATGAAAACGGCCTTTGTTTTATCAACAGACGTCTTGGGCGAGAGAAGCACATAAAACTGAATTTGTACATAAAAATATGCACCCACGTCTTACGTTTGGACTTTATTATAGCTGGGGACAGTGCAATTTTCAAGGTTTTCCAATAAAATGTCTGGTGTGCGACCATACGACGTCGGGTGGAGTCCAATCGTACTCAGAAACATTATCAAGCAGCAGAAAGCTAAGGCAGCGTTCGCACACATTAAAATTAATTTCACAAGTTGGCAATTTATGATATCGCCTTACCTCGTGTAAAATAACGCATCTTCAGCACTCATCTAAGCTTAAATCTGCACATATTGGTGAGAATGTTGCTGCCATGAATGGCTAATTAATGTTCATTTCTAGTCTGATGTAAAACTCATTATCTGCACTTCAAGAAAAGCATGCAATCAGAGGGAATTGCCACTAAAGAACCACAGAACGAAAGCGCAGACAGGATGGAACAGGTAGTTACAGGAGTCCACACTTGATAGTCAGGAAAGAGTTCTGATAAATAACGCAAAAATGGCAATCACATGTGTTAAGACGAATCATTTCCTGGCAATCTAACAATCTGCAATAATGATTTGCAGAAGTCATGCACTGACCCGTCGGAACTCTTTGTCCTCGACGGGCCTCAAAAAGACCCTATTTCTGACTACTCTTAGATTACACAGGAGCCGCTGTAGTCACTTCGCGTCTTTCTTGTATATTTTAATACTTACAGTCACCCGAAAGAGACGCAAGCACTCAAAACAGTCGGCTGAACTTATGACTTCACATGAAACAAACAATGAAGCTGACAGCAGAGAGTACAAGAGGGATTCCTCCCAAATGTTAGCCACAGGATAGTCCTACGATCCAGATATAAGTGCAAGAACAGACCGCATCCCAATATATGAAGGATGCACATTTTCGAACATATTCTGCAGCTGCTGGAGCCCGGATCGGACAGTTTCAGGAGAGCAGATGCAGAGCACTGAAGTCGCCAATGCCTGGATTAAATTTTATTCTGATGCATTGCTACGTCCAGGTTTTCGTTCAAAATACCTTGCGTTAGATAGACCCATTCAGTTGTCTGTGCAAAAAGACATCAGGTTTCTCAATGCCCTATTACCGCAATGTAGGAAAGAAACAGTGTTTGCAAGACTGCCTTATCAAGGGTACGCAGCAAACGAACTAGTAAGACGGCGTCCTAGAACAGCAATCACGGGCGCTTTCCTAACGGAAAGCGCACATCCATTCTTCATAAACCCTCGCCTGCTACTCTTGAGAGGTGAAGACAGACTATCGATTACAGCCACATAGACGTGTGTTTACTCATTCAGATGCTTCTATGGAGCGGGATGCATTGACAGTACAAAAAGGCACCTGGAAAAGAGGGTAAGCAAATGCAGACAGTAGGTGGGCTTGCTCATGAAATGTCAACCGAAATTCCGAAATGCGTTTTCGTTCCGAAAAGATTAATTAAGTAGAGTTGTAAAACTAATCAGCGTGCAGCATAATTCTATAGTAAATCCGTTGCCTCAGGATGCCGGCCTTCGAGTGAATTTCCCTCCGGCTGCATGCAAATCTACACTCTAAAAAATGACTACCTATGTAGCATGAATTTTTCTCATTAATTTTCGATGCCCCTAAAAGTCCAATTATATTTCATAGAAAACATGCAAAAGAATATTCATTCTTTTGCCCATTCAGTAGGTAATTACGTCTTATTCCAATCATATACTCGAAGGAAGGGTATGATTCGGTTTTCAAAAACTCTTCCAATTCCCGAATAATTTTGAACCCGCTCTACCGTTACACTTGGATTCAGGGTTTCCAAACCACAAGCCATATATTTTCAACGTACGGAAAACCATACATTTCTCTGCGTTAATAAAGGGGGACCATACAGGGTTCATAAAATTAAGCAGCAGATTTAATCCATATTGTTAACTTTACAAGCCACATTGGTAAATGCAGAGGTATGGCGATTTATGAACGGCCATTTCACGGTATTAAAAAATTTCATAATTATTAACATTTTAAAACCGAATTATGTCCCTGCTCCGAGTAGGAACTTAGGGAAGACGTAATTTTTCACCAAATGAGCAAAATAATGAATATTTTTTGCATGTTTTCTATGAAATATAATTGGACTTTTAGGGGCATCGAAAATCAATGAGAAAAATTCATGCGACATAAGTAATCGTTTTTTACAAAGTGTAGTTTTTGCATGCAGCCGGAAGGAGGTTCACTTGAAAGCCGGCCTCATGAGGCAACTAAGTTATTATAGAATTATTTTGCAGGCTGATTACGTTTACAACCCTACTTAATTAATCTTTTCGGAACGAAAACGCATTTCAGAATTTCGGTTGACATTTCATGAGTTAGCCCACCTAGTGTACCTGCCTGGTTAGATGAAAACGAAAATAGCTTGATTCCGATTTCCGTTCTCATACATCTAGTCCACACGAATCACCGCATCGACGCCGAAAAAAAACCTTTCAGGTTGTCTAACGGGCACCAGCAAACTTCTCTAAAGGCCTACACCAATGGGTGTTAGCATCGGTCGAGGCAGTTACTATACGGCTAGCGAATCCAGGCATTTTTGTTAGAGGACACTGGTGCAAGCCCTCCATTCCCCGTGGCCAACTCCGACACCAGGTGATCTTAAGTCACCCCAACACTCTGAAGACAGTGATGTACACTCCGCGTACTCGACTTACGGTTATCGCTTACACCCTACCCCACCCCACCCCCCAGTCACAATGACCACAACACGCCAACCTAGTAATGCCAGCGGCGTGGAAACTGCAGGCCTTACTGACCCACGAGACACTTATGAGTCCAGTCAACTTCACATACTTTCATTCCATAGATAATTCTACGAAACCGATGAGTAGTTTCCGAAAAAAAAATCTGCAAACTTGCTCTGGAGTCAGATTCCGAAAAACTCAATCTCGTGACATATGCAAACTGGAGTATATCTCCCAGTTCACTTCAGACACCCGTCATATAGATAGTTTACCGAATAAAGTGGCTGATGTCTTGTCCGGGGCCCCCACCGCTTATCTTCAAATCAATCCAGGAGTCTGCCTTGCTGATATGTCTGCCAAACAACGCCGTCTGATTTCTCTCTGTGACGAGGATGTTCCGGATTCCATCCTCGGGACTTCCCATTGACTACTGGAGACCTTAACATTCCAAGTAACGTCATACACCCGCCATAAGGTCATCCTTTCTCTGCACAACCACCTTAACCCTGGGAGTCAGGCTGCCAACAGGCTGATTTCTGATCGCTTCGTATGCTCTGGAATACAAATGGACTTGAACACAGGCGTGACTCGACTTTCAACAGCTGCACAACTAGGCCTCGTCGACACCTTCCCCGGCCCACGTGCAAGGCCCCCTCCCGCTGCTAAGCGATTGCCCCTACCTCGGCACCCGTGTGGATCAACTGACCGATGTCCTTGCGCAATAATTTACCGTACTAACAACACAGGTATTAGCTAAAAGCCCAGACACGCGTGTTTCGCCGATCTTGTGCCGCTGCCTGACGCAGCTGCGAGGGGTTCGGCTCGTCAGTGGGTCCCCCAGCTTTCCCCGTGTGTTTTCTGGTATATATATATATATGTCCGGAAGTCAGTCTTCTGCCCGATGTTTAGGATTCGACGGTGGTCAAGATCCTCCTCAGTCGTTGTGCTTCCATTTTCGGTGCCCAGTTTGGATCTCACCTCTTCCAGTCTTTTTTCACTTTTCCAAGCTGAAGTCGCGTCCGCGCCATAGCCCATCACCCAGCTGCCAACGACACGTTTGACCGGCTCAACCGCCAGCTGAAGACCTCCCTATGGCCCCCAGAGGATCCAGAGAACTGGGGAGACCATCTCCCCTTGGTCCTGTTGGAAATCCGCTCCATACTCAAG